ATCATATCATATCATATCATATCATATCATATCATATCATATCATATCATATCATATACATAGAAAAAAGCCAAGCTACTAAAGCTCAAGAAGCAGCAAACAGAAACGACATGCGAGAATTATACCAGATTACAAAAAGACTAGCTGGACACTTTGGAAAATCATCAGAGGGGCCAGTAGAAAAGAAAGATGGCACCATGGCAACAACTCTAGAAGACAAAAAAAATCGAGGGCGGAACACTTTCAAGAGATCCTAAATAGACCACCCTCACCAATTGAATTCAACTTTGACAAAGTACAACCAATGGAGGAATTGAACATAAAAATACGGACAAAATAACCATGCCGGAAATGTTAACAACAGTGATGAAAATGAAAAGAAACAAATGTCCCGGAGAAGAAAAACGCTTTTATCAGTGCCTGGACAATTATTTTGCGCTATTCTTGTCTCGTATCAGAACAGCAATAGATGAGAGGCTATGAGAGGAACAGGCGGGTTTTCGACCTGGGAGATCATGTACAGATCAACTGTTTGTTCTGAGAAATATCGTAGAACAAAACAAAGAATGGAATGTCCCAATTATCTTGAATTTTGTAGATCTAAAAAAAGCCTTTGACAGCATAGACCGAGAGGCCCTGTGGAAAATCCTTTCAATTTATGGCATCCCAACAAAAATAATAAAAAGTATAAGATCATTATATGCCAATGCAAGCTGCAGTGTCCTTATTGAAGGAGAACTATCTACACCTTTTGAAGTAAACACTGGTGCTAGAAAAGGCTGTATATTATCACTTGTACTTTTTGGAATTGCAATCGATTTTGTAATGAGACATTGAAGGCGAAATTAAAAATTTATAATAGCAATATTTTGGCTGTATTGACGTATAGTTCAGAGATATGGAAAACAAACAAAACAATTCAACGAAAATTAAAAAGCTTCCGAAATGTCTACGAAGAATTGTTTCTAATAAAATGGAATTTATCTTATTACAAATAATGAAGTGTTGGAAAGAGCTAGCAAATTGAAGACATCAACTCAACAATAAAAAAGAGAAGATGGAAATATCTAGGACATGTTCTGAGAATGCAAAAAGAATAGATTGCCTTATCGGACATGGTATTGGAAACCAACTGGAAGAGAAAGGGGGGAAGCTACAAATAGGCACAATAAGAGATGAGTCAATCCCCCGCAGGGCCTAGATGTGCCAAAATTAGAGAAAGTGGCCGGGACAGACAAGCGTGGCGTCGACTGCTCTCCGCCTAATGTACCTGACGGTATAGGGAGAGTAAAGTATATATTATATTTATAGG